CGATTGAACACATTCTATTTCATTGCCATCAGGCTCAGAAGGTTTGGAAGCTAGCACCAATCCAGTGGGATGGAATTCAGAATCAAACAGGGTGCTTCAAGAAGTGGTGGGCAGCATTAAGCCAAGCTACAAGTAGAGCTGAAGGAAGACAGCATATTGCCTTGACTGCTAACTTGCTATGGCAGATATGGAAGGATAGAAATGAAATGGAATTTGAAGGGAAAGAAAGAGAGAGCCTGAGAATTGTGCAAAAAGCCAGTTCAGAATGGATGGAATATGAGGAAGCTTGGAAAGGAAAGAACGAGAAAAGTACATCAGAAACAGATGGAGCTATTGGAAGTGCAAGGGGAAGAGGAAGGGAGGAGGGAGAGCTGCTGGAACTTCAGATAGCTACTAAGAAAGCAGCAGTGGGACATAAATTGGGGATTGGCATCGTAGCCAAGGAGGCTAGAGGGAGGATCAGAGCTGAGTGGGCGTTAGTGGAAAGAAGTGCGCAGAGGGACAGTCAAGATGAAGCTGTGGCAGTAAGATTGGCACTAATGAAAGCAAATCTACAAGGATGGCAACGAATCAAAATCATTAGTGCCAACAAGCAACTCATTGCCTTGCTAAAAGCTGGGAAAGGCGACAATCCGAATACTGCCACACTGGTCGAAGACATAAATGTGTTAGCTAATCTGTTTCAAATGTGCTCTGTTGAGGCTAGGAATATTAGTAATATGTCTTTAAGTAACCAAATTAGCTATTATGCCCTGAGCATACTTATGGATGAGGAGAGATTTTTTGGCCCTCCTTAAGTGTCAAGGTACACTTTGTAAAGATGCTTGAGCCTTTGCTCAAATATTGTACAGTTTGAGAATTTATAATATATCTTCTATCGTTTCCGGAAAAAAAATAATAATCAATATATGTACATACAACTATTGCATGTATGACTATGTTTTTGTTTTACCTCCCACCTGTCCCCGTATCGTTGTTATCTCCAACTAAGAAATTCAATATTTGAATCTTGAATTTGGCAGTGAACTATTGCATATACAGTTGATTGAAAAAAAATAGTAAAGAAATACAAGATTATATACAGAACAACTTTTTAACCTCTTCCATATGTAGACTGAACCCTTAATCTTTTAGCCTATTTTTTTTTGGTTAATATAGGTGGGGGATATGAAAGAATCATTATCATTTAGTTTTTTTTATTTATCTTTTTTTGGGTAAAATGCAGAAGAGTTATATGCATCGGTGAGGGGCAGGACCGCTCCTGAACTGTTCACGGCCAGATTTTGGCCAAAAAAAAATGTGCGTGATCCAAATCACTAGTTGTACATCGATTTTCACTCCGTAGGTGGGACCCGCAAAATTTTGTACTAAAATTACACGTTATGCAAATAAAGTTATACCGTGTGCTATCAAAATTACGCGCTGTTAAAAATGACCAAAACCGTCAGGAACGGTTGCACCTGCCCGAGTCCTGTATGCATTTAAGTGCAGTCAAGTTTGACTTCTTTGGAAATGATTTGAGTCATTTGACCGTAGCACATGCATCTTACATGCAACAAATTAAAGAGAAATTGGATCTGTATGCTGATTGTACCTAATTGGAAAAAATCGAATAATGCAAGGGGGAGATTTGTGGTTTTAATACTCAAGGGAGAAATTGAGGAAAAGGTATTTTTGGAGGGTAGATTTAATAACTAACCCCTATTTCTATTTCATATTTGTTTGTCCGTCCCATTGTGATGTCCATCCAAATTTCAGCCGTCTATCAAGATTTAATTATCGTTAATTCATATTTCAGTGAAACCTGAAGGCAAGATGAAAGAAACCAGGACTTAGAAAAATCAAGGGGTTTCACTATATGGTAGTCGTTGCGACAACAGTTGTTTTTTTTTTCTTTTTAATTTTTTTTTGTCGATGGGAATGGAAATGCATTTTTTTTTATTGTTTTTCTTTCTTTCACGTCTAGACCCTAGTATTTGTAATAGTTTTTTTTTGGTGCAGTTTTAACTTTTGGATCATAACATCAGCAACAAAAATCCATACGCAATTTGGGATTGCCGGCTACTTAGTTGAATATCCAGAATAAATCATTTAGCTTTGAATATAAGGACGTATTTTCGTGCTCTATTTCATCTTTCTTCTTTTAAGTCATCTAAAAAAGAATAAATATGAACACGAGAACGTTGACCAAAAAATAGAATTGGCTAACTCGTTAAGAGAAGAAAACCAATTGCTAGAATATCTTTAGGTTGCGTTTGAATTAAGAGATCTGAGGAAAAATTTGAAATTTCCGTAAATTCTTTTAATAGTTTAGATTAAGTAGGAGGCATTTAGATTTGCAAATCACCAATTAGTGTTTCAAAGTCCATCTTGACTTCTTAAGACGAGGACAAAATTAGGTTTCAATGTAAATGCAAATGGAAAAAAAAGGGAAAAAAAAAAAAAAGGAAGGATAAGAGAACATGATCAATATTCTTAGGCATGCATGTATTGATCAATCCAGCAAGTCTAAGAGAAAATGTAGGTTATGTATTTTTTTTATTTTCTCAGTGTGGAGGAAAGACTTTATGTTCCCCTCTTCTTTTTGTGCTCCATTTTTTTTATTAATAAAATAGGTAGTCAAACTCGTCCGTCAGATATGATTAACAATTAGTTAAAAACACAAAAAAGTACCACAAAATGCAGAATATTATAGAACTGACGAAACAACCCTTTTACTATTTGATGGTTTGGCTTCTGATTGTGAAGTATTCAGCCGTTGCTTCAGTGTCAGAGTTGTTGCTCAAAAGAACCTCAAAATACTCTTTGCAATGGAACCCGCTAAACAATGGGGGATTGCTTGGACTAACAAGTGATTTTGCAGGTTCAATTATACCATGAGAAGCAAAGTTCACAGAGTTAGCCAGTGATGTCCTAGAACAGGTTTCAATTTGTAACCACTCGATGCACTGCATTTCTTAGCTTTCCATTGTAATTACCTGCAATGGTGATCCAAATCATACCTATAATTCTCAGATATTAATTTCACAATTGTCCCATCTGACAAATAAGAATTTTATGTGTTCCATCTTCCAATGTCTTTACTGGTCCAATAATTCTTATATTTTTTTCCTTAAATGTTCCTTTTCAAGCCGAATAATTATACTTGAGCTTGGATTTTTGCAGTTCAAACAATTAATTCTCCAGAGTGAGTGCGAGTTGTGGCCATAATTAGTTGGAGAAATAGGTCATTGAAAAGGAAAAATAGAAAATGGAATACGTGGAGATCATGCAAAGGTGACTCGTGTCTTGACAAGTGTCATAATATTCGAAATAATAAGATGACAAGTCACTTAAAAGGCTGATGAGTCATTAACACATTATAAAAAATGTTGAGTAGATCTCAACTTGACACATCATTATGAGATCTCGATCTCGAGTTCTCCACATGACATGAAACGGTGATTATATAGCAAATTGTGCAAAGGTAAATAAAAACTGGGAACTGTCCAAGGAAACAAGTAACTATTATTTTAGAACATCTATCTTTAAACTACCTTTTTTTGTTGGAACTTTCCTAACTCAAGCATCAGAGTGTATTCCGGGGGAGAGAGCCCCGCCTTCCACGAGCTTCTCATTTCAGATAAATCCAAGGAGGTTCGACCATACAACTACGTGCAAGGTTCTGCTTTTCCAGTCAGGTAATTTATGTGTACCTCTAGAGAAAAAACATATGTTGATGACAAATCCATTTGGAAGAAGCTCCACACCAAGCCAATGTCCATCCTTGAATACTTGCAGTCCATAAATATCCTGTGGAAGTATGGTTATGAGGTTACCGTCATGGTGTCCAGCAATTACCAAGGCTGAAGTCGGGTCTGGACATTCAAGGTAGCTGTGAACCATTAGGAGCATATCATAGTTGTCAGGATCTTCCTTAGTCAATCCTAGTCCCCCAGAGATAATTAGCAATACTCTTTTTTTTTTGTCAAAATGGCATTGTATTATATCTTTAAACTTGATAATACAAGTTTTAGTTACACAAAGGAACAACTGTCCTGTAGTCTTTTTGTGCAAGATTTTTGATCCACACGGCGAAGCTAGTGTCCCATTTTACATCATTAACTAGTTTAGTTGCAAATTTAACTAGTCTATGACAAACATCATTTCCTGATCTATGAACAAAAGAGAAATTGCATTGATCAAACAGCTCTCTCAACTCCAGTATGTCTTCCAGTATCATCTCAATGTTTCTGTCCTTGCTGTTACCTGATGTTTCTCTATTAGCCCTTTGCTGTCAGACTGAACTTCAATTCTTCTCCATCCAGCTTCCTGTCCTATCAGTAATGCTTCCCTTATTGCTAGAGCTTCTTCAATGAGGGGCTCACCCCTTTTTCGCTCTTGCAGTGCGCAGGCCTTCACCAATTCCCCTTTGGAGTCTCTTGCTACTATTCCTCTTCCTGTTTTGTTCATTTGCAAGGCTATAGCAGCATCATTGTTGACTCTAATTATTCCTTGTTCAGGGGGGTACCAGTTCCTGTTCTCATGAGGTTGAGTTGTTTCAGCAATGCATTTTCTGTCATTTACTTCCTCAGCTTCCTTGAACTCCAACCATTCCTGTTAAGCCTTCTGTACAGTGTACACAGCTTAGTTCCTCCCTTGCTTCTTGTCCATGTTGATTGTCAGGCCAATGTGATCTTGACATTACTCTGATACCCAACTTTCTCACATCAGTTGTATATGGTCCTATGATCTCTCTGCAAATTGAAATGGTATTTATTTTGTCCAGAAATAATGAGTAAAGGAATATTAGTTCATGGTCTGCAGATAACAGTAAATAAAAGAAGTCAGGAGATGATCTTTCTATTCACCACAAAAAATAAAAAAATAAAGCCCACATCTTAGTCAGTACACATGTTCCTTTATATACATTAATCTGCATGCTACGATCAATGTATGAAATCCATCCAAGAAAAAGTAATTGTTTGCTAGAAAATCAGATTTTTTTTGTTTTGAAAAGACAGAAGAATCTGAAATGCAGGTTCCTTCAATTGATACTGGAGTAGAACAATATGGTATCATGATATATCAAGATAATCTGCCTAAAATTCGCTGGCTCAATAGGAGATCAAAATTCATCATATACTGGTATGGTGCTGGTGTAAACCATTTCTATAACTTCCAGAGGTGGTGTTAACCATGCATCCATTTTGTGCATCTTGATCAACGAACTTTGCTTTCTCCTCAGCAGGCAGCGAAAAGAACTCTCTGCCCACATTCACAGCATCAGTCATCAACTCTTCAGATACTCCGTGGTTGATCACCTGTTACATAATCATACACAAGTACTAATTAACTTTTGATTGAAATCAACATAATTCATGTTTCGAAAACATGAAAGTTCAAAGCTGCAAACCTGGAATAGGCCAAATTCTTGACCAGCTTTCATGATTTTCTGAGTTATATTGGCTTGACCTTCTTCACCTAGATCAACCACTGGTATGCCCTTGCTTAATTGAGGCTTCTCTACAGCTACAACGTAGTTTTTTGGCAAAGATTTTAGATTGGACGACCAACTTGAAAGAAGAAATGCCATGTTTTCTCACTAGAACAGCTAAATGCCGTATTTTGGTGGCGTTGTACCACAGATTACAGGTCTTATATAGCCAGTAAACCTGCGCTTATCCAACTATATGCCAAAAAAGAGTTCAATAAATGTAGAACAGGACCAAAGATTTTCCTTTTTTTTTTTTTGGTTTAGGTACAGGATGAAAAGAGTAATCACGTTGTCTTTAGTTACCAGATAGTCACCAATGAAATAAGTGTAATATTGAATTGCAAATGAGCTGATGAACATGACATTAGATGGATGATGTACAAGTGATCTAACAAAAACTAACTACTTTTGTATAGTCATAAGCCCCCCCCCCCCCAGGCCGGCCTTGGGCAACCAAGGTTCGAGTCTGCCTGGAGTTACCGTGTCCGGAGTGGAGTGGGGCCTCCTCTCCCGGGTCGCAGGGGATTAGTCGGACCTCGTAAAAATTGACCCGGACACCCCTGTGTCGAAAAAAAAAAAAATGTATAGTCAAAAGACTCATAAGCTTATCTAGCAAGTCTATACTTGCTATCTATTGTCTGCAATTGTGAATTACCCTTCATCATAGTTTATTGGCAAAGTCTAAATATAGAAAGGAATGAATTCCATTTTGGACCCTAAAATATAAATTCACTTTTACTTTAGTCCTTAAACCTTAATTTGGGCACTTTACCTACTAAAATATGAAATCCTTCCCACTTTATTACTTAAACTTTAATTTTGGACTTTTTACCCTCTAAAATATGAAATCCATCCCACTTTAATCCTTTAACTTTGAGCATCACTTGCCTATCATTCCGCCAGTTTTGATAATTCAGTGAGATGGATTTCTTACTTTAGGATATAAAGTGTCTACTGATAAGCTTATATAGTCTATCGTTGCGATCTGCAATTTGCAATTGTGAATTACTCTTCAACATAGTTTCCTGGTGAAATCTAAATAAAGAGAAGGGTTAATTATAGTTTGCCCTCCCGAATGTGGAGGTTTTGCCGCCTTGAACTCAGACATGGACACTTTACCTCTCTAATTTTGGATTAAAGATTCTTTGTTTGACCAAAATGACATGAAATGACTAAATTACCCTTCAAATGAGATCTATTAGATCATGTATCCTTTCGTAAGAGAAAAACATAATATCTACATGATGAATGGAAAACTTATAGTATAAATAAAACATAGAAATAACAGTCATAAAAAATGAAAAAACTTGTAGAATAAAAGGAGTGAAAATAATTGATCAGCTCAAAAGCTTAATATTTTTAAAAAATTGAAAAAATAAAATGATTTATATATTAAAAGAATTGAGAAAAATTAATATACACAAAAAAATATGAAGAAAATAATGAATCATAGTTTATGCAAGAAAATATTTATGAGAGAAAAAATAATATATAAAAAATTCATGAAATATAAAAATACTAATAGCTTAAAAAGAGGAGGAAACAATTTGATGAGAGAAAATTTTAATATCTAAAAAATTAAGAAAATTAAACATACTTATAGTAAAAATACAAGGCAAAAAAAACCTGACAAGAGAAAATTTTAATATGTAAATTAAAGTCACGCAAATTAGGAATATTCATAGTATAGAAGAAAGGAATAATTTGGGAAGAGAAAAACTTCAAATCTAAATAAAATGAAAAATGAAAAAATTGAACTATTAAAATGAAAGAAAATCTTTGATAACTAAACACTTAATATCTCAATAAAAATTAACATTATTCGAAAGATTCACAACATGAACGCAAGGAAAAAACTTTGATGAGAGAAATAATTAACATGTAAACGAAAATCATGAAAAATATAAACACTTGTAGTATAAAAGGAAGGAAAAAGAATGTGAGGAATGAAAAACTTAATATCTCAAAGAAAAAAAAAAAGAGATATAATATATGCATGAAAGAAAAAACTGATGACTAGAAAATTTAACATTTAAATAAAAATTACTCAAAATAAAACACATTATAACAATGCAAGTGAAAGCACTTTGAAGTTATTGGAAGGATAGGATTGTCCAAAATTTTCTTCTCAATGTAAAGTAACATTCACATTCAAGGGGACAAAGTACAAGTAACTCCCACATTCCGGGGGCAATCTGTGATTAACCATAACAAAGGCAACAGGAATACAATAACTATGAGGATCGCCATACATCAATTGTATCTCATGTCAATTTGACAGCATTCATATTCATGTTATAAAGCTTAATTTGAAGTATAGCTATTTAGCCTCAATCAAAATTTCCATCTTACCAATTTGGTTAAAATTTACATCAATTGTCTTAGTTTGCAACAATATGTGTTTGCTATTATCAAAAGTTTGTAGACACATAAAGTTTAAGGCTGCGTTTGGTTCTACAGAATTGGAATTGAATTGGAATTGGAATTCTATAGAATTAAAATTCCAGGAATTGGAATTCCAAAATGTTGGAATTCTTTTGTTTGGGAAATGCATAGAATTGATACAGAATTCATTTAAAATTCCAAATTCTTTGTTTGGATGAGAGAAGAATTCATTAAGAACTAGAATTGTTTCCATCTAACATTTGTTTACATAAAAATTTTCTGTTTTTCTTTTTCCTATGTAATAATTTTTTTAATATTTAACTAACTATTACTAAAGCTTCAAGGAAAAAACCAATTAATGCCTTTAATAATTTGTTTTTTTCTTGCATTTAACTAATTGTTAGTAAAGCTTTAAAGAAAAAGAAAACCAATTAGTTCTTTTTTTGCAAAAAAAAATATTAATCTTATTTCTTTTATTCTTAATTAAATTATATTAAATAAAAAACTAATTATATATTCTAACTTAAAAAGTAGTTAATATTCATCAAGTTAAAACCTTGATATTTTTCTTACAGTTAAGAACTTTAAATTTAGAAAATTAAAAGCCTACTCTATTATATGAATTGGAGAGGAAAGTCATAGCTTGTACCTATTATAAATGTTTGAGTTTTGCATCTTACAAGATTATATAGACAATAAGGTCTGTAATAAGTGAAATCAATCCATGAATGTACGACTTTTGCCTCTTTAATGCACAACCAACCATTCGGTACTACAATACTACAAAAGTAATGCTCACTATATCCATTCATTAACATTACATTTTATGCTAAAGCCATTAATAGGACAAGGCACCTCTGCTACTTGATAACCATTACTATATGAGCAATTATCATTTGTTGCTCTTTACTTTCGTCCCTTCCTCCCTTTAGAGGTCTGAAGGTTCAAAGTGGGGATGCTCTGTTCATTCCTGAAGAAATTTTGTGGATCCATGGTAGCCTTCACTTTCATCAATCTGGCAGGTTGAAAATGATCCCCGCCCTATGAGGAAATGGTGTTTCATTCTTATGAATTTCACTCATTCTTCCACCATAAGGATTGAAAACAAGTCCTGTTTTTCCAAGCTGAACCATTTTCTTGAATAGTGATACTAATCCATCTTTAGGAATGGGGTTCTGTACATAATCTGATTTTCTCTTCAAGAAGATCAATTGATCATAAGCCCTTCTCAATAGCACTTCCTTTGCTGTCCCAATCTTGTAGTTATACCACCAGAGCATCGTATCAATCCAACTTGTTTCCAAACAATCACTTCTCTTCAATCCCAATTAAGGAAATCCAGTGTTCATAACAGAAATCAACCTATTTGCATCTCCAAGGAAATGTCCCATGAATGTCAATCTAATGATTTTCTGACCCTTTACTTTTCCAGTAATTGGCTGCACAATAATGCTAATGTACAAATCGTTGTCAATTTTGTCTGCAATATTTTGCCATTTGTAAAGAACATCTATTGCATTCTCTGCCTCAGTCTTCTGCACATTAAAAACAGTGTGAATTTCAGGCACTCTGACTAACTTGATTCTATATGCAAAACCAACACCAAAACTAGCACTACCACCATCGCTAATAGCCCCAAACAGATCTTCTCCCATTGCTTTTCTATCCAAAACCTGGCTGTTAACATCGATAATCTGAGCATCAAGAACATTATCCACCATCAGGCAATATCTTTGCAACAGTGAACCGTAGCCACCACCACTTATATGTCCACCAACTCCAACAATTGGGCAAAGTCCAGCCGGAAATCCAAGTATATTGCTCTTTACATTCAGGCAAAAACCACAACCAACAATGACAATATAAATAGAAAATATTGCAACACAAATTCGTGGTACTTTATAAGAATGCATTCTCACTAAAAGTCTAACAAATGTATTCTCACTAAAAGAAATAGAAAAACGTATTCTCAAATATCTGGTCCCATGATAAATTCTAGCATTAATCAGTGCTAAAAATTGAAGTTTTCTATACTAGCTTAAGTCGTAAATTCTTTTTTAATTTCTAATGTCATGCGAGAAGTCCTCGTTTAACATCTTGTCTACTTTATTTCTGTACCCTTTCTAGTTTCTACTATGCCTGGAGTCCTTTTAGCCACATTGAAAACCCACATCTACAGATCATAAACTTCGTTTTTCAGAAAGTGAAGAAAGATATAATGGCAATTTGTCTTCTCTTTCTTTTTTTTCATATTTCCTTTTATGAAGAAACGTGATGATTCTTACAATTTCTTTTCCTTCTCTGTTACTTTTTATGTATGATTTTGACATCTACGACATGGTCATCAGCAATCATATGGGCTGTATCTATAGCAGAATAACCATGGAAATCTAGAGAAGAAGCGAATCACATAGAAAGAGAGAGGATACAGTGGAACGAAAGCTTACCACGATATAGCAGAATAGATATAGCGATTTCACCCACACGATGTTGGGGTGGAGAGAAGAGGGAGGAAAGGCCTGAAGGGGTTACGGTAGAGGTGTTGGGAAGAGGAGGCGGCACCGGCGGTGGCAGAAAACGCTAGAGCGATTGCTCACGAGAAGAGAGAAAGAAGCCTAGCTTTGTATATTTTTTTTAATCCAGCTTTATAGTTGACCCGTTTTGGAGTTTTTACCCATTTAAAGTCCGCGTGTTGACCCGAATGGAAGTCTGGCCGTAGAATTGGAATTCTTTGGTCCAGCCAAAGAATTGGAACCATGGAATTGGATTGATTTGGAATTGCAATTCGATTCTAATTGGGAAAAATGCACTTTTCATCCTCAAAGTTTGGGGGCTTGACCAATTTTATCCTCAATGTTTAACCCCAAACACATTTCATCCTCAATGTTCCGTAATTTTGACCAATTAAGGACAATTGACGGGAAATATCCAATTGACCGTTACAACCAACGGTTTTACCCAACAAAAAATGGGTAAAACCGAATGGAGCTAACTTTAAAGGAACAAAATGCAACGGACGGACGAAAAGCTCCATTGTTGTCCTTTTTCCCTCTGCCCTTCAACCCCAAAATTTTCTTGCCAATCTTTGCAGCTTTAAACATTCATCCTCAGAGCATCTGGCAGTGGAGCTCCCTGTGCTCTCATTTTTGCCTAAATGAGGAGCAGAAGTTCTGAAGTCTCCAGTGGTTCATCAACTCCATTCTGCAAGTGTGGGTTAAGAACAAAAATGAGCACCTGTTGGCGCGGCGAGAATTCGGGAAGAAGATTCCTTGGTTGCTCTCTGTGGCCGGTAAGAAATATTTGTCTAAAAATGTTGGTCCTTCAATGTGTTAATTTAGCTAACTAATTTCTGAGAAATGTCATTATTGTTATGGTAGAGACCCGAGAGATGCAGGTACTTTGAATGGGTTGATGAGCCAATTTGTCCAAGAGGGAGAGTTCTCATTCCTGGTTTGCTGAAAAAGACTAACAAAATGGAAGAACAAGTTGAAAGAATGCGTAAGAGGGAGAAATTTTTTATTATAATAATTGTGCTTTTGGTGGTTTTGCTAGTACTGAGTTGGAGCAGTAAAGGCGAGGAAAAAGTAAAGGGAGGCAAGTTGCTGCTAAGACTGGAGTGATTTTGGTAAAATTGCAGAAGAAAGAACATTTTGAAGTTGGCTGTGTTTGTTGTTGGAACGAGAGTTGCATTTTTTCCTATGAAGTAATATCCAATTGCAGGGTATAGAAAGGGACTTATTTTGTTTGTACAAAGGTTCCAAATGAACTCTGCAATTTATGTAAAAGGTGGGATTTAGGAAGGGAAATGTATTTGGCAACAATGCAATTTATGAACTCTGTAATTTATTTTGTTTGTAAAGCTATGCGTTGAGTGTAAGAAAATGGTCCTTGTCAAAGTGTTGTTCATATCATAAATATAAAATGGCCATGAACTGATAAACCACATGTACTGATAATACAAACAGATGCAAATAAACCACGCTAGAAAACAAATGCAAATAAACCAAACTGGCAACTAAGCTGATAAACCAAGATTGTCCCACATGTACTGATAAACCAAGTTGGAATATAAATGCAAATAATACAAACAGATGAACATGAAAACAGCTGCCATATATGTATATCATAACTTCAATACAATTAAAGTGCATTCTCAATGAAATAAAGCAAACTACATGATCTGTTGTTGAACATGGGTCCATAAATGAAATAAAGCCAGCTATCACATTACAGCTTGCACTTCCATAATTACTAGGCAAAGCAAAAGTTGAAACAACAAAAGTCATTCACTAATTACAAAAGCAGCAACTTGGCTTGAACAAAAGCAGCTTGGCTTGAAGAAAATTCAGCATGTTGTTTCTCCTATCACAGTACTTTCTCCTTTCCCTTCGATCTAGATGAACTAGGAACACTTAAATCTGCCTTGCCAGCAGCAGCAACATGCATATGAACATCTCTAATCCTGAAGGGCATCTGTACTTGTTCTTTAGTTTGTGTTCTGGGTTCCTTGGTGCTATATTTCACTTGAGACCTTGACAGCCCAAACACTTCGAACATATCCTGGTCTACTTGATCTGGGGCAGAGGATGTTATGTCAATCTCAACCAGTGGCTCAGCATCCTGTTGATGTTCAATGTTTGAATCATCATTACAAACTGCAGCTGCAACTCTTCTTGTATGTCTATGTCTCTTCTGCACAAAACAGTGAGGTAGCAAAAATCAAATTGCATAAAGACAGAAAAATCAAAAGATGTAGCAGGTTTTTCTACCCTTTTATTTGAAGACTCAGCAGCAGGCTTCTTGGTTTTCTTTGTTCCCTACAGTTTAAAAGGAAAACATGTCATTTATATACCAAATAGCAAAGATAGCTGTAACAAGTCATCAAAACAACTTACAACTTTTTTTCCATCTTGGCTAGCTGGATTGTTGGTAGAAGCAGCAACTTGGCTTGAACTAATATCAGTTTCTGCAACTGCAGGATCTTGAGCATCTTTGAGAAGCTTGCAGGACCTCATATTATGTCCCCTTTGATGACAGTATCTACACTTGTTAATCTGTCCCACTCTTGTCACCTTCTTCTTAGTTTTTTCCTTGGTTTGTTGAACCTCCTCTGCACTTCTCCTTCTCAGCTTTTTAGGCCTTCCAGGTGCTCTCCCATATAAGGGTGGTAAAGGACCTTCACCAACATCAGTAAGCCCCCATTCACTTTCTCCATTCATGGGACACACTGATCCTTCATAGCACTTCATATATGTCTCCACTGTATACCATTTTGAAACATATAGCAGAGGATCCTTTTTAGCCATCCACAATGCAGCAATGGCATGGGGACAGGGAATACCTGTTAATTCCCATTTTCTGCAAGAGCATGTTTGCTCCTTGATGTTCACTGCATATTGGTCACCATATGGGCAACTGACTTCATAAAGATCATCATTTGACTTGAATGGAAAACAGTCAGGTGCTCTATCTACATTTTTCTGCATAATGTGAAGAATTCTGGGGCAATAAGGATAAGTCTGCCACTTCTCTTTGGCCAGATCCCTATTTTTTTGCATTCTCTGCATCATGTACAACTGTATTGCTTCAAACATTTCAATTATTGGCTTCTCCCTAGCATCAAGAATTTTGCTGTTGAAGCACTCACAGATATTATTCAATAACATAGCACATTTAGGATGAGTGCTAAAATAAGCTCTGCTCCATTGACTTGGTGGTTTGCCATCAAACCACCTGGCTGCCTCTATATCAATTTGAGCCATTGCTTCCATTCTGCTAATGAATTGAGCTGGTGTTGTTGCTTTGGCAACAGTCCATAACGCTCTCCTCAAACCTTCTCCTTTGAAACCAGCAGATGAAAAGTTATTGTGCAAGTGTTTCACACAAAATCTGTGGGCTGCATTTGGAAAAATCATATCACATGCTTCAATTAGACCTTTTTGTTTGTCACTCATTATTGTCCACTCATAATCTTTTTCAATCTTCAAATCTTCTTTCAATAGTTTGAAGAACCAGCACCATGAGTCCTTACTTTCACCCTCTGCTGCAGCATATGCTATTGGAAAAATGCCATTATTAGCATCAACTCCAACAGCTGCTAGCAAAACTCCTCCTACTGATCCTTTCAAAAAAGTACCATCTACTCAAATAAATTGCCTACATCCAGTTAAGAAACCATGCTTCACTCCAGCAAAACAAATGTACAGCCTCTAAAATCTGCCTTTCCCTGTTTTTGAGTCTCTAAAGCCATCAACAGTTTTCATTATAACAGTGCTACCAGGGTTGGATCTTAGAATTTCATGCATATAAACTCCTAATTTGCTGTACTGGTCCTTTTCACTGCCCTGAACAATTTTCATTGCTTTTCTCCTTGTCCTATATGTTTGATTTTTTGTGAAGGAGCACCTATTTTCTTTCATTAATGTCTTCCCAAAATGCTCCAAATCTAATTTAGGATTACACCTAAACTCTTCACAGTACTTCTTAGCTACCCATCCAGAATGCACAAGAGGATTATCATATGTAAAATCACATGTGTGATTATCTTCAAAGGTTCTTATTTGAATAGTTCCATCCCCACTTAATTTTCTAGCATATATAACCCAATTACATTCACTATTTCTGCATCTAGCCCTCACCCTCACTCTATCTTGTTTCACAAACTTACAAGGCCTGCCTTGTTTCACACTATAATTATGTACAGCAGTCTTGAAAAGTTTCAGACTTGTAAAGGACATATACAGCTCTAATTTTGGATTGTCAATATGCTTAGGATCAAAACTACGAGACCTCAATTTAGACTCTTCATCATTAGACTCATGAATGCTTTCAAAATCAGATTCAGAATCAGGAACCTGTTCTGTTTCATCAGAATCAGGAACCACCTCTGCTTCATTCAAAGGATCAGGAACCACATTTTCTTTCCTGTGATTATCTACTCCCAACCATTCAGCATTTTTGTCAACATTATCATGAAATATACCATCATCAGCATCATCACCTATTTCATAATCTGAATCAATAGCTGAAAAAAAAGTCTCATCACTTGCGTCAGAATCATTATCACAATTATTAGCAGCACACCTTCCTTGACCTTCATCCCTAATATTATTGTTACCATCACCATTTTGGAGTTTATTTTCTGTCTCATCTACCTCATACGGATCATAACCAAGTTGTTGCACTAGAATTTCATGAAAAGATACTTCAAGATATAAGTTAACTTCCTTAGTTGGTCCAACCTCCCCCTTAACATAACCATTTAACTCCCTACTGCTGTCTATCCTCCTAAAGGTGTTATTTTCCCAACCATAGTACACCTTATGACCATATACACCAGCACTCTCAGTTAATCTATCCACTTCAAAAACACTTAGACCTATACTCTCAACATAGTCAAACACACACAAATCTCCACCTTCGTAATGGGGATCAGGAGTAT